CGTTCTACCAAAGAATGGTTAAAGAAGGACAAAGTTAATGTTTTGGAAGGACTGAGTCAAATTCTGGACCTAAAGCAAGCAGTTCATAGGAGGAAACCCACCAACATCACTGAGTTGAAGTGGTTCTGTACTGAGGAATGGGCTAAAATTCTTACAAGCCGATCAACAGTTACAAGAAACATTTACCTGCAGTTATTGTTGCAAACGGGGGTCAGACCCCAGATACTGAAAGCAAAGATCCACATACTTTTGCACTGCACAGATATGTAACACTGGATCATTTTTCTCAATAAATAAATGGCAAAGAAAATATTTTTGTCTCATTTGTTTGTTTGGGTTCTCGTTGTCTCATTTTCTGGATGTGTGTGAAATTTTGATTGTTTTGAGTCATATTTATGCAGAAATATAGAAAATTCTAAAGGGTTCACAAACGTTCAAGCAGCACTGTAGTTTAAAATGTAATTGATCCCTGTGATAGTAAAGCTGAATTTTCAGCAGCCATTACTTCAGTCTTCAGTGTCACATGATGCTTTTGAAACGATCCTTCAGTTGTGCTGGTTATTATATTTTTTGGGAATTGTTTTTTCAGGATTCTTTGATGAATAGAAAGTTCAGTAGAACAGCATTTATTTATAATAGAAATCTTTTGTGACATGTAATGTCTTTACTGTCACTTTTGATCAATTTAATGCTCCTATGCCATGATTAATAAAAGTATTAACTTTTTGTGCTGACAGACCAGCACTTTGTATTGTTGTATAAAATGCAGTAAACTGGTGCAGTAAATTAAAACAAAATCACAGACTACTAATACTAAACTCTCTGTTATGGCCAGCTTGTGATTTTAGCTATATTGTTCCTCTTTTTTCAGAATCAAATTGAATGGTTACTGTTTCTCCTGGATTGTTTGCTTTGGCTGGTTCTGTCTGATTTATCCTGTTCGTGTTCAGGATCTTTACATTTGAATTACAGATCTGCACTTGAAATCTGAACTTCTTCAAACTGAAAAGAGTTTGAAGAGTTTTCAGTACAAATTAAATATTGAGGTGTTTTAAACTTGCTGTATGATTCATTTGGGCCATTACGTGATAGGTATTATATAAATTATTGTATAACTCTTAAATTCTGTGAAACTGCCTGAAGGCCATGACTCTAATAAGAGTTTTTTTCCCCTACCACCCTGAGAAGGTTGCTCTACTGGACAGCATCTCTGCACTTTGTTCTGCTTTCATCAGAGCCTCTTAATCTCAACACATGACACATACTTACACATATTTCACTCCCTGATCGCTCAAAGCTCAGTGTTTCTCTGGATGTTTGACGAAGAAATAGTGTTTGTAATTCCTTGACAGTGTCTGCTTTCTTCACATCGGTCCCTCAGTCTGCCAGAGGTGGCCTGTGCCATTGTTGGTCTGATGTGAAGGGGTCACCTACCAGCCCCGCTTAACAAGATGGGCAATGAGAACAGCACTTTGGAGCTTCCGGTAAGATGGTTTCAATTGGGACCCGCTGCCTGTCTCAGCACCGCAGTGTTTGTCTCTTCTGAAACGCTTGGACTACCATGCTTGTGTGTGCCTTAAAACTAGACTTACTGTTTAGAGCTGTTATGACTTTTGGTGACATCTGTTAGCATTCACCATCAACTGACATACTGCCTGTGACAACCTGTGCTTGAGATAACAGCTCAGAGAGAGAGAGAGAGAGAGAGTGCTGTGGTAAAAAACATGCACTGTTGTTTTCATTGTTTTCAGTGTTTTCAAACATTCTGACCGAATTTTGTATTGAAAGAGGGCAGATGGTCAGTGAACTCACTGTGTGGGATTTTTTTCAATCTTAACCAATAGGCCTATGCTGTTGTTCCCATCGGTGCTAGAGAGTGACTAAATAAAAGTAGAGATGCTACTGTTAACTACATTTTTTCAGTAGCATGCAATAGTCTGGCTGTTTTCAAAGTGCAGCTTTTCCAGTAATGAGCTACATTTTCCAATGAGTAGGTGGTTTGTTGGCTTTTTTAATGTCTGCAGAGGGAATAATAATAGCAAACGCGCTCACCTCACCTCAACGTTCCTCTTTGTAGCATTGGAAAGTTCAGTTCAGTCAAGTGAATCGGTTCATTCTAAACGGTCCTCTCACACACAAGTTGCGGTGGAATGTCCGATTCATTCTAATGAATAGGATCTTTCTAAAAGTTATTTTCTCATATGTATCGCTAGAATGTTCAGTTAATTAATTTTAATGAATCAGATCATTCAAAACCGTCTTTTCCCCCCTCATATAGCCCATGTATCGCTAAAATGTCCAACTCATTCATTCTAGTTAATCGACTCGTTCTTAAAGCTCCATCTCATATTTAGCGCTGCAATGTCAGTTTCATTCAAGTTTTGATCGTTCGGACTGTTCATGTAACGTAACAGATAAAAATTGTTTCACATTTTCGAGTTCACGTAGAATAGTGTTTTGTAGATTAGTTGTATTTTTTTTTGATACGGTCACTAAATTTGTTAATAGCCTACTTATTAGGCTAATACAAATATAAAAATATGTACTTTCTGTATATATATATATATTTTAAATATTAATAAAGATATTTTCCCTTAAGTAACCATATTTTTGTTTAGCATAGCTAATTAGATAATCCAAACAGTAACTTAAAAGTCAGTTTTAAAAGTTTCCCCAACAACAGTCACCACAATTTAAATCTTTAGCATGTGTATGGCGTTTTGCTGCTGATGTGATTTTACAAGACATTTATGCATTTGTGCATTCAACTGTGGTTTGATATTCAATGGACCCTGAAAGGAATAATTTGGGCGACATTATGCTACATTGAATAGGCTACTCAACTTGGAATTCAGGGTTTATCTTAATAGGATCAACCTGTTGGGCTCAGTGCTTTTTCATGGATGACTCCAACAGTTTGGTAGCTTCCCAGAACGAACCTCTTGGTAAACGTCCAGCAACAGCAGCAACGGAGACTGATTGAGGCATATATAGGCCTAATGACTCAGATCTGCAGATCAGATGCATCTCTCCAAAGACTTGCTTTTACCACAACTTGTATCTTCTGTTCTTTTGCATTACACATATTTGTCTCTGCCACAGGAGGGCGCTCCAGATAACGTGGTGCTATTTCCTCCAGAAGAGAAACAGTCTGACATGGTAAATGAGGTACTGTAGGGAGGGGTGTCAGCATGTGTGTGTGAAGTTGCACTGGGAGTGTGCATGGTATTTCTACATTACCTGTGGTTCAGAAATATATTTAGTGAGAACATATCAACAAATATGGATTTTCAGAGAATTAAGTTTAATGGTTTGCTTACCCCGCTGAAAAAATCATTTAAATCTAAGATGAGTTAAGTTGGCTTTAGCAAGTTTAAGAATCTAAGGTCTTCCTGCATAGCTGATTAGTTGGATGGCCAACTTGTCCACAATAGCTGACAAGCTGAAAAGTGCACATGATTTCCTATAAAAGTGTGTACTTTGCAGAACCAAATGTCTGTGGATGCATAGGTGGATCTCAAAATCGGGCCTAAGGGTCCACTTGGGGGCCACAAGACAAAACAAGCATTTAAATAGCCTAAGACAAAACAACTATATCCATATCTTAAATCTTTTAGCCTAATCATTCCTAATCACTGAAATTTTGTTCAAGCTGTAAGACCACATTTATTGAGCAGGTTAATTAAAAAAAACATCATATTATATATATATATATTTATATGCACATTTATATGCTCAATAAATGTGGTCTTACAGCTTTAACTAAATTTCAGTGATTAGGAATGATTATGCTCAAAGATTTAAGATCAAAGATTTAAGTATTTGATGTATGCTCATGGTTAGGGCATTCTTATGTAGTATGTAAAGCATTATGGCTTTATAATAATAAGTAATAATAAGTTAAAATAAGTTAAAAATAGATACAAACACTGATTCTAAATGTCATTTAAACCTGGAAACAGTGAAATTGAAATGTTGAAAATGTAAAAAATGTTTCAAATTTTGAAATGTAAATATTAATTATTTAATATTTCTAGGTAATTAATGATATGTAAGAAAATGTGGGATATTGGCCCATTAAATCCATTTAAATATATTTTATTTTTGTGATTGTGATGTTATTTTTGCTCCAGATTAAGACTTGAAAACCTAGTTAGATTGCTGACAATTATATTTTAAACAAGCATCAAGATTTTAAGTAAATATTTTTTAGAGTGTATAATCGGCTGTATAACCTTTGCAAAATACTGTAAATATGCAGATTTTGCAAACCCTAATGGCAAAAATTTGAGGTTTATTTGAATGTATAAAGGAAAGTATTTTAAGTCCTTTAAATCACCATTTCCTTTTTAAATTTTCAACATAAGCACATTTTTTGTTGGTCATTTAAATAGTCTTGCAGTGCGACTAATTCATAACATTTTTTTAAATATACATTTTTCTGGATATGTCAAGCTCTAAAATATTTTATTGGGTAGAAACTGTAAGAAAAAAAATCTTTGTTTAAATCTTAAAAATTCTCTAGGGTCAGAGAATAAAATTCTTAAAACTGAATGTTGTTATAGGGACCCTAGTTAAGAAGCCTCCAAAAGCTAGTGTATAACATGATCCCCTCCTGTGGGTTGCATTGAGATTGACCTTTGGCCCATTTCCCACCTGCATTTCACCTGCAGTGTGTGCATCAGAGTGCAGTGCTCAGTCCCCCAGCAGGAAGTGACAGAACAGCAGCAGACATAAGAGGCAGGAGGTAGCTTGAGAAGGAGGGATCAGAGGGCAGAAGCGTCATGCTCAAAGAGTTTCACAGAGTAGGGGGAGGGATCACTACTCAAGTTGCTCTGTGAGTGTTCTAGCCTGAGATTTCGTAGTACTGCTTCTCAGGAGGAACAGTCTGTCTCACACTTCCAGGGACTAGCAGAGTTCTCCTGTGAAGGGCAGGGGTCTATAGCAGGAGAGGTGAAGGGAGCTGAGTCAGGAGTCTGGGGAGGAGACTGGAACATAGGCACGACCGGCAGCATGTTTGTGTCTTTGCCCGGCTGAACCAAAACACGCACACGTCTCTGCTTGCGCTCACGGGGAGTTCAGCGCAGGAGTGCTGCACTGTGAAGCTGCAGCAGTCTCGTGCGAATGTGTGTGTGCCTCCTAAGAGAAGGTGAGTTTGTGATTTATTTAGTGGCTTGCTGCAAATATGAGGTTTACACTGCAAAATATAATTTTTTTTTCTTATTTTCCAGTTAAAATCTCTCAAATCCGTAAGACAAAATAAATGTACAATGCTGCAGTGCTGCATGAGTTATTAAGAGAATGTATAGGTAACACTTTAGTTAAGGGACCAATTCTTACTTACTAACTAGTTGCTTATTAGCATACATATGGCTGTTTAAGTACTAATAAAGCACATACTGTAATGCCTTATTCTGCATGACCATATTTTTGATTCCTTAATACTACCCCATACCTAAACTTAACAACTAGGCCTACCTTAATAATTATTAATAAGCAGCAAATTATGAGTTTGTAGTTAGTTAATAGTGAGATTTGGTCCCCAAACTAAAGTGTGACCAATGTGTTTTTCTAATACAAATGTATTTTGTCTTACTGAACTGGCAGTTTTTTTTTTCATTTGAAAACAAGTGAAAAAGATTAATTAAAAACTTATTGTGAAGTCATTTGTTTTGCAGTGTAAAAGTTTTATTTATTTTGCATTGAGTGAACTGTTGCGTGTTAGCTGAATACACTAGTGTGTGTGTCCTAACTAGGGATAACACTTTGGTCTGTTTCATATTGTTATTCAAAACTGGACTGCATTTCATATAATTTATGGGTTGTGTGTGTATGCCACAACTATTTAGAGGTCAGTCTACTGTGTTGGGCTTATACAATTGCCATGGCAACCAGTAACACTGCACAGCAAGGACGCATGGTAGTTAACAGCAGGGATTTACTGTAGTGGAGGACAATGTGGTCTGTTAAAGGGGCAGGGCAAAAGAGACCATATGGGGTCTGCTTTTCAGGACCACTCATGCTGTAGGTCAAAGGACAAAGGTAGACAGTGGCCCTTTATTTAAAAAGACAGCAGTGATTTGAGGTTACCTGTTTCATTCTCCAAAGGCCCCTGTGTGCTGTATATATGGATCAGCAGATCTGGGTAAGAGATTCCCCCAGTGCAGCTTATATCAGTTTAAATTCTAAACCTACAGACAAATGTAGCTCAGTGAGTGTGATTTATTTTAGTTACTGTGTGCTCAATGAAGTTTTCTAGGGCTCAGATATAGGTTCACAGCATAGACAGGAAACAGGAAGTTGTGGAACTTGAAACCAAGCATGAGAAACAAGATCATAAGAAGACAAAGTGTGCTATTATTCTATTAAACTCAAGTGTAGGTGTGAAAAATGTGGTCTCACAGTTTGAATAAAATTTCAGTGATTAGCAAGTTTAAAAAGTCCTTTCTTATGATCAAAGATTTTAAGAAAGAAAGTATTTGATGTATGCTAATGGTTTGGGCATACTTGTAAAGCATTATGGCTTTATAATGTTATTAAAGTTAAAACTAGATACAAACTCAGATTCTAAATGTCATTTAAACTTGAATGTTGAAATGTTGAAAATGTTTCACATTTTGAAATGTAAATATTAATTGTTATTTCATATTTCTAGGTTATTAATGATATGTAAGAAAATTTTGGATATTGACCCCTTTAACCCCTTTTACAAAAAATATTTATCTTTTTCTTTTTAAAAGAGGCTTTTTGGAACATTTTAAATTCATGTAAACTTTTCAGTTAAATTTTTCATTCAAATTGTTTTATGATAAATTAAATAAAATAATAAAGATTTTTTAACAAGCATTTTTATTAGTGGTCTCACACTTCTGTACCCCATTCAAATAACATAATAAGGCCTTGACTTGTTGTCTGCGGGTGTGTAAACAGATTCTCAGGTTGATGACAGGACTTTTGGAGTAGTGTAGCAGACACTGGGTCGTTTTTATATGAAGGGCCGAGGGAGAGAGATTTAGGGATACAGCGATACAGTACAGTGATTGTTCGCCAGTGTGTGAAGTGCATCCTGTTCTTCAGGGGTTTTGCTGGGGTTTTTTTTGTCGAAAATCCTGCCATCTGTCACTACTAAATGTTACTGATATTTGAAACCCTTGTGTTTATTCCAGGCTTGGTTAACAAATTAAAACTCTGAATAAGCTAATGGAATCTGAACCCTTGAGTTTGTCTGGACTTAGATCAGGGCATTTCATTTGATACTCTGACCTGATTCAAATTGAGTGGTGTTTGTGCTCAGGCCTGGGAATGTAGATCAATGCATGAATTCACTCTTAAAGTCTTAAAGCTCTGAGAGTGTATAACACGTAACCTACAGCAGAGGTGGGAATGCAATGCACCCATGTGTATCAAGTGCATGTGATGTGTGTACAGGAGTCAAAGATGATCAAAACAATGGTTAATGGATGTGAGGCTTCTGTGTAATGCATCTCTAATGTGGCCTGTGTTCCAGAGAGCCTGCAACATGATCCTCTTTTGCTGCACAAGACTTGCCTGTGAATCATACTGTTGATCAATGTGTGTGTGTATGAATAAAATGAGTGAGTGTGTGTGTCTGTTTTGGAGGGGTAAGATTCTCTCTTATTTTAAATCATAGTGTTTATTATGCAAATGAGAGTCTAAAATGATCAAATATTATATAATTATTTGTGTTTGCTCCAGTTAAGGACTTTAAAACATAGTTGGATATTTGACAATCTATTTTATTTTATTTTATTTTATTTTTCTTTACTTTACTTTACTTTATATGTGGATGATCTGCTGTTGCGACCCTTAACGTGAGCAGGAAAAGATTTTTTGATTTTCACCATTTTAATCACCTAGGTAAATTAAATAGGCTTGCAGTGTGACAAATGCATTTATAAATGAAATGAAATGCATTTAAAAAAATATATATAAAATTTTTTTTAATAAAAAATAGTGTTCCTGTGGCTCAGTGGTAGAGCATTGTGTTAGCAGCGCAAAAGGTCGTGGGTTCAGTTCCCAGGGAACACACATACTGGTAAAAAATGTATAGCCTGAATGCACTGTAAGTGTCTGCTAAATGCATAAATTAAATTAAAATTAAAAATTACATATAGTAAATAATCCATGTATATGGATTTACATGTGTTTGTTTGGCCTGGCCTTTTACAAAATGCTCCAGAATGCATTTAATCTGTGTTTAAAGTTTTCTGTGGTTAATGCAGTTCAGGTGAATGAGGCTATCTTATTTCATCTGGAAAGAATAGTGGTAAAACCAGTAAAGTCAGAACAATCGCTTCATTTTGCCTCATTTTCAATGAAACAATAAGTAAATGAATTCTGTGGAAATTCACTATGAACCTAGAATTACCTTTTTAGTTTACAACCATATGTTGTTGTTTTTTTTTGTAACATTGTTTATTCATGTGTGCAAAAGGGCATAAGAACATGCCTGAACTGATCCTTAAGACCCAGCTGGTGTGGTGGATTCATTGAAAACATGTTTATTCTTTCAAGATTTGTCTAAAAGTTCTGATGGCACAGTGATAAATGATCAGGGTGTGTAGGCTAGTCTGAAATCACCTCAGCATTTTAATTTTTATTGACATGGTGGGTGTGTTTTCTTTGATGTAAAATGTCAAACCTTGTACGTTTGAAGGAACGTGATCTCGGTTTGAACAACTAACTTGTTCACACATTTTAGGTGTGTGCAGCTGGTCTGAGTGATTTACGGATCTCTAATTAACAACAGATTGCACCGGTCTGTGCTCTAACTACTTTTGTTGTGTTTCTCAGGCTGCAGTACACACTGACAAGGTGAGCACACTGAAGGAGAAGTCTGCCACTGCAGAGAACGGATCTGTCCACACTGATTCAGTCAAAGCAGAGCCACAGGTGTCTGCTGACGAGGAAGAAAAGCTGAGAAGACAGGAAGAGGAGGATCAAGAGGAACTAGAGTTTCCTCATGATCTGCTGCCCAGCATAGACCTCGACCTCAGCACTGAGCTCAATCTCACCTGGGGAACCTCGCTTGGGTAGGTCTCAACAATTTCTCTCTCTCATACAAACACATTGATTACCTCAGGGAACTGTGCGCTGAGGAGTAGATCTGTCATTTGACACTTAGCAAGGGGCAAGTTTCAACAGAATGCCTGATTCTTTTGAAATTCTTTTTGATTCACATCTGATGCAAATTTTTCCACCTTTCGGTTATGTTTTGCATACTGGTAAACAAAAAAACTATTTTGCATTCAGGAAACAAAAAGAGAGTGATTAAAAAGGTGATAATGATTAATGTGTCTACTGTAATTAAAGGTATGGTATTCAAAAAGGCATTTTCTGTCATCATTTACTCACCCTTATATCATTCCAATCCGAAATGACTTTCAAGAGCAGATATTTTGAAAAATGTCTCATACAGGTTTGAATCAACATGAGGGTGAGTAAATTTCTATGAAAATTCAATGAAATGTGCCATAAAATTGTGAACTCACCTGGGAGTTGAGGACACAAAGAATGGCGCAAGTTTATATTAGTCTTGAAACTGGAAGCCAATGATTACATTGGACTCTGATACTTGCTCACTCATTTATGTCTCGTCTTACTATATTTCACAATCAAAGCAAAACACAAGACTTATTATACGAAGATCCTTCCTTGTACTTGCTTGGCTGGATAAACACAGAATGAATTTCCATTAATCTCTGACTCATTCCTATGGAAAACTTGACTGAATGGACAATTGGCAGGCCTACAAAAAAGCCGCAAACCTTGCCAGCTGTTAAGGTGGTAGAACCCAGACACACTCCAATGACTTTTATTTTACATGATTTTATGGAGGTAATGCTAATTAAAACGAAAGGCTTGTTTGAAGACATTACTATTTCCATTATAAATTCTATTTTTTTTATACATACTGTATATATTATGTATACTATGTCATAGTATGTAGTGTATATTACAGCAAGAGTTTCTCCAAGGAATTTCTGCTGTTAGGTTTCTACCTAATAAGACATATGACAAGTGTCAGTTCTAGGAATAAAAGGACAAAATCTGTGAATGTTGTGCTTTTTACATAAATACATCAATAATGCATTACCATAGCCTGTTAGTGGACAAAATGTTTGTTCTAAAATTATTTTGATCAAACCCATCTACTTAGATTTCTTTTACAGCTTGATTAGTAATTGAATCTTCCTGTTAATGAGCCCTGATGTTATGAGGCTCATATTCATGGGTATTTATTTGTGTATGTGTGTGTAAAGTTGTGAGCAGGGGAGCTTGGGTGAAATGAAGAATGAGGCTGTGGCACTGGGTGGCACTGCCAACCCTCTGCTGGCAGGCCTAGAGCACTACATGGAGGCCAGTCCACCAGTAGTGGGCCTCATGAAGAGGTAATAGAGGAATGATTAAAATGGAGACAGAGATACCAGTCTGTTACGGCATAAGAGACAGACATTGGTAACTCGGCCAAAGTGTATTCATGTTTTCATATGTAATAGATTTTGGTCAGATCTCTTTTGCTCCATTTTGTGTTTTGGGTGTGATTATTGATGTGTGCTGTGTAAATGGAGTTCTCAGTAAGCACAAAACATTTTTACTTTTCAAAACGTTGAATTTTAGTTGCAGCTAAGTTACACTGCAGTACTCTGTTGAACAAGTTTAACAAACAAATAGATGTAAAAAAAGAAATTTAAGAAAAACAGTGTAACCAAATCACGATGTGCGTTTTATGTATTTGGATTATAAAAATGATCAGTACCAAACAGTAACTTTGAGAGAAAAAAATTAAGTTGCATATATAAATTTATACAGCCAAAATATCTTAAGAAACATAAACATATCTACCTACCCTAGTGAAAAATGAATATACTAAAATGTATTTGAAATACATTTATTTCATGCTCAGTATACTAAAAATACATTTACATATTTATGTACTTAATAAAAATACCCTGCAATTGTACTTTCGGTAAACTAAACTAGTATACTTAAAGTCTGCTAAACTGGAACAACTAATTTTGTACTTAATGCATTTTAATTGTTTGGAAGTAGTGCTGAAGTCCAACTAAAGATATACTTAAGTATATTTGATTGTGCTAAAGTGGAGCTATTGCAAGTATACTTTAGGTACACTTTAAATATCTTGCATTTAAAGACCGATATTATTCAAAGATCTTACAATCCTCATCAATAGTGACATTAAAACACATTTTAGGCTTAATATTACGAAATGTGCATTGTGCACACGTAGTACTCCAAATAAAGTTTAATCAAAATTTTCGAGTGATATGTCAGTAAATATGTTAATAGGTTTAAACTATACTTAGTATGAAATAAATGTATTTGAAATATATTACTTTTTTATGTTGTATGCTTTTGTGTTATTACTAATATGGAACAAAACTGTGCCAAACTTGTTTAGGTTTATATAATGTAATCAGCATTTAAATGAAACAGGCTTCAAAAATGTCTTCAGAAATATTATGTTTACAGAACATACAGTATGTTTATGAACAAAATACAACCAGAAACAGCTTGCTTATTTAATGGTAAACACAAAATATGTAATTTTTAAAAATATATAAACATTTTATTTATATACTTTAATACATCATTGGTCATGTTAAGTATTTAGGATCAAAATGTTTTTACAAACTTTTCACAACTGGAAAAACATAGTTGTACTAGCTAGGTTAGTGGTCTGTTGAACGTGTTTGGCTTTAAAGCTGGTTGAGTTGGTTTGCTGTGAACTAAACTAGCATTGTTTTTGGTTGTGCTTTGATTGGGCAGCTGACATGACTCTTTAACACGCATGAGGTGAAAGTGTATGGTTTACCACACTAGATCAATATACAGCGTGAGGTGTCCTCCTTTACAGAAAGCCATGTTTGAGTGTGGCGTGTGTATATTTGCGGTCGTTTTGTGTGTGTACGTTCAGTTTTTTTTCCTGTTGAGAGAGTTATCAACACATTATTACGTCTGGTTGCAATTGCATAGACTTGTGCGGACACAGACAGATGAGATCTACATTCATACTTGACATGTTTAAGGGTGTACTTCATGTTAGTTTCTCTCAGCTAAATACAGCCAAATCCTGTCAGAGTCAACTGTTTATGTTTTTATACTATTTATGTTTTTATTAATATTTATGTATTCTTTTCAGATTGTGTTTTTTTGCTAGAAAGGCAATAGAAGTGCTCAGGGAAGGGCAGAGGATTGTGGGTATTGAAATTCTGCCTGACAGTGCAGTAGGGAGTGGCTGCAGTTCTGTAATTCATTCAGACATACAGTATGCCAAAAGGCCTCAAGTAAGTTTTAGCACATACAAGCATAATTGCTGTAACTTAAACTGCAGTACAGCTGTCTGACTTTCCAGTTATGCCAGAGAAGAGTTATAAACGTTTTTCTTGCCTCCTCTGAATGGGAGTGGCAGCTTCCAGTCATAATCATTTACTGAAAAAAGAAAAAGGCTGCATGGTTGAGCCTGTTGTCATCTATATCATCAAGTTGGCAGATCACACGAGTGCTGTGGTCCAGTCAGAGAGAAACCCATGAGGATCTGCTTTCTCATTTGTTTCCATTTGAGGTGAAGGTGATTGATAGTTTTTTTGTTTAAAATGACAGGCAAAAATTTGTTAGCTAAGCTGTCTCTGTTCTGTTAATTCCCCTGGAGGCACAGAAAGAAGCACACTAAGGTGAGACAGGCAGTGTGGGAGAAGCATGTTGTCATATTAGATCAGCTGTAGCTACTTTATCGGGTTGTTAGTCACTGACTGTGTTTCAGCTCTTGAAACGTGATATGCAGAGTCACAGTGGTTCACCAGGTTCTATATTGTCTGCAGTTATAAGGTTGTTAGAAGCATGTAGCAGTTTTTTGGCTGGTGCTGTTCTGTCATACGTACTGTATAGGTAGTCAGTTACACTGGGTCCTTAATGGATGCTAAAAGCATTGAAGCATTAACCTTGCTCTAAAACAGCATGTGATTTTCTGCCAAGTCCATAAGACTTCAGGCTATGTAGTTAACACTCATTTCACTTTTCTAAATTAGCAAAAAGATTTCAGCATCTTGATTTTAATCTCAATGAAAATGAAACATGATTGCAAGTGATTTATACTATTCATAAATTTGAAATGAGGAAATGAAGTGGTACCCAATGGGTAAGTAAGTAAGTAAGTAAATAAATAAATAAATAAATAATCATGGCACTGTCTGTGTATAGTAAAACCTTTTTTTTACACAGAAGAAAAATATTATTTAGTTTCTTATTTAATTACATCCTTAAAACAAAGTAAATTTACTTGTATATAATAACAATACTCATTTCATAGAATATATCTTGAATAAAGTTTATTAATTCACTAAATGATTACACTAAAATTTGTTAGATTTATGTTTAAAATAAAACTAAATGTCACTGAGGTAAGAAAAATAATCTTAATTCTAGATATATTCTTGAAAAAAAAGTTTTATTATGCAATTTTGTTCTCAAGAAAATTTACCTTGTTTTAGGATGACAAATTACTGATTAAGAATAATGATTATTATTTATTATTTTTTTGCTGTGTGCGTGTGTGTTTTTTGTATCTTACATCTTTAAAATGCTTAGTTGTGCCTATGCATGAACTCTCATCCTGTCTCTGGCATGAGGTGGAGTGGAGTGCTTTGGCTTGGTGTGGAATGAACAACTGATTGTTTCTCAGAGCAGTTTTATTCTAATGTATCTTTTTTGGTGAACGCTGATAGCTGTGATGGTGACCAAGTTTCTGCTGAGACAGCATCACTGGCCCAAGCCCACTTGTCTAGCGAATCTCAGCAACATGTTCCATCCCTCAGTCCTTTGGCTGCCCAGATGGATTATGAACTCCAGGAAGCTTTAAGGGAATGTGAAGATGAAATGGCTGCTCTTGGCATATCTTCCCATGCAGACACATGGACTGCAGGTGATCTGGACAGGTTTTTCTCTGTAAGTGATGAGAAAAATCAAACTGAGAAAGCTGAAGTTAAAAAGGATTTTGGTTCATCTTCACATAAACCTGCCGAATTTCATGAAGGTTGCCATGGAAATGATGGAGCGCACACAAATGACTCATCAGCGGGTGAAGAGGAGGTGTTTAGCTTCAGAGATTATGTTCTAGAAAGAAAGCAAAGTAATACATGTGCAGCTGGAGCTGAGGTTGTCAAAAACATTGAGGATATAACAGAAAACCACAGTGAAGAAGCGAGCCAGCTGTCAGAGGCAGAACAGCAAACAAAGTCAGAGATAGAGACAAAAATAGACACAGCTGAGAACATAGCTGGTCAACAAAACACACATACCATATGGACAGGTACACAAACAACATCCGAGATTGATGCGGAAAAGGTAACACTTACCCAAGATCAATCAATACAAGATATCTGCTCTTTGAAAAACACCCTGGAGGGTGAGAGTTCACAAGATGAAGACAGAATACACGTTATAGCACAGACAACCCAGAGAGAAACAGGAATAATTCAAGAGACAAATCCTTTGAATGAAGAAGTCAGAAGTTCTGAAAAAGCTACACAGATGATTCAGAACTCAGATGAAATAAAAATAGAGACACATAGTCAGTTAATTAGTGATTTACTGGCATGCCCATCCACATATACGAATAAACATTCTGGTCACACGTTGCATTTAGAAGCTAAAATAAGCATACAACCAAACATACAGAAACGGGTGGAGTCAGGGACACATCAGCAGATAAATAGACAGATAGAAACAAACACAAAAGTAGGATCAAGCCTTGACCATCAAAGACAGGAATTAGGACTCCCAGAACAGCTGAGTCCTGAGGGTAAACAATTGATCTGCTCCCCACCTCCAGAACCCGAAGCTCATATTTCCCTGGCTGAGGCTCCACCTGCCCTGTTACTGGACTCTCCACAGGGGCCTGAGCAAAATGATAACCAGGATCAGACAGATGGACCCTGCAAATCAATATCAGATGGTGAAACCATACACCACAACCACTGTACAACAGGGGAAGTCAAAGATGAGAAAAATGTGTCTGCTGTTGTGATTGATTTCTGCCAAGCTACAACAGCCCCTGAACATGAGCCCATAGGGAGATGTGACTTAGAGATATATCCACTGGAGCAGGAGAATGGACCTCCTTTAGGCGGTGGAGCTGGCGCACACGCACCACTGTGGGGGAATTCACATGCTTTGAGCCGGGCCGGTGCAGAAGAGGAGGAGGAGGAGGAAGAGAGTGCCCTTGAACGGGCTTCAGCAGAGTCCACTGCCTCCACATTGCTACAAACAACACCCACGATGCCAGAAATGATAGAAAGCGAGGGAGAGAAGAAGAGCGGTGATGCGTTCCAAAGTGCCTCAATAATATTACAAGCAGCAGAGAGAGAATCGGCAGTGCTGGAAGCGGATGAGTCTCCGAGCTCAGAGGAAACATTAAGTGAATTTATATCTGAAAAGGGACAAGAATGCACCTCAGTAATTTTTCCAGACATTAAGTGCTCACCTGTTCAGAAAGAGGAGGCGACTGAGGAGAGCTGTAGCAACTTGACGGAGAGTGAGGGGAAGGGTGGGGGTCTGCCGATCGCACTCTCCCCAGCCGGAGACAAGGATACAGGCACGGTCGGCACAGAGGACAAAGCTCTGGTCACCTATTCCTCTCCATGTGTCCTTGTAACATGTGACTGGAAGGTGGAGATTTCCCGATCAAAGGAGAGAAAAGAAGAGAGCGAAGAGGACGGGAAAAAGGCAAGCGAAGGCGGAGCACAGAACACCGCAAATGCCGGCAGGGTGTCACAGAAAGAGGCAGCGACCGAGACGTGTCCATCCCATCGCATCACAGCATCACCAACCCCATTTCCTCTGACCATCAACAGAATAAACGACTGCGACTCCATCAGCCCACCCCCTCCTCTTTCCCACATAAACTCTACAAAGACTGAAGCGCAGAGGGAGGAAGAAGCTAATCTGAATCCGAGCCCAATTGCATCAGGAGCAGACCTGCCAGGCAGTGATAGATCACTTCCACCGGCATTTTCTTTAGAAAACGAATGTCTCTCTGCGCAAGCCAACGATCAACAGGTACAGAGCTTTTCACAGACTAGAACCGCAAGCTGTGACACATCCGTCAAGACAGAGACACAGCAACAAAAACAAGAAATAACTCTTACAAGTGAAGACACATCTCAATCTACTAAGCTACAAGTAAACATGAGGGATATCGCCGCAAATTGTACCAAAGTGGAAGGGTCTCCAAAAGGTATGCAGAGCTCTTTTGAGAACCAAAAGGATACAACACTGAAATGCCAAATGACTGAATGTGCCTCTTTGCCCCCATTGATGGTATTTGAAAGTCTACACCATCCAGTAAAAGAGGCTAGCTTCAACTTTAAATGACCTCATCCATCCTGTCACAGCAGGCACAGCCCCATTTCCTCTGACCATCAACAGAATAAACGACTGCGACTCCATCAGCCCACCCCCTCCTCTTTCCCACATAAACTCTACAAAGACTGAAGCGCAGAGGGAGGAAGAAGCTAATCTGAATCCGAGCCCAATTGCATCAGGAGCAGACCTGCCAGGCAGTGATAGATCACTTCCACCGGCATTTTCTTTAGAAAACGAATGTCTCTCTGCGCAAGCCAACGATCAACAGGTACAGAGCTTTTCACAGACTAGAACCGCAAGCTGTGACACATCCGTCAAGACAGAGACACAGCAACAAAAACAAGAAATAACTCTTACAAGTGAAGACACATCTCAATCTACTAAGCTACAAGTAAACATGAGGGATATCGCCGCAAATTGTACCAAAGTGGAAGGGTCTCCAAAAGGTATGCAGAGCTCTTTTGAGAACCAAAAGGATACAACACTGAAATGCCAAATGACTGAATGTGCCTCTTTGCCCCCATTGATGGTATTTGAAAGTCTACACCATCCAGTAAAAGAGGCTAGCTTCAACTTTAAAGGTTTTCTCAGCATCAGCAAACCAGCACTTCCTCTTCAGACAGAACCGATCACTGGCCAGAGAAATACTGACCTGCATGGAGCAGAAAGGGAACATACTGCCTCTGAAGAAGAAGGTAAAGATGAAAAAAATGGAAAGCAGAGAGAAAAAGTGGAAATGACATTTAAAGAGCCAAAGGACTGCAGAGAAATGACCAGTACATCTCAAACGCAGGGTGATACTACTGTAAAACTTGGAGAAAATGTTAATGTAAATATGAGTAGCTGTGAAGACGATGGAAAAGTGACAGATGAAACTCCTGATGTCAGCAAGGGAAATCCTGTTTCATCACTGTCAGCTGCAGGTGAGACCACCTGTGTTAATGAATCTAAGGATGTGGTTAATGAAACTCTGGAAGCAACTGAAGTAAGCAAAGAGAAGCAAGAAAATAAAGAATGCTTGAATGTTACTCAGATCACTCCAAATAATACAGATGAGTCAGCATCCACTGAGAAGAACAGTGTTTTACTACCGGATGTATCTCCACAAGAGGGTCGTAACAGCAGCCCTGCTGTGGGTGGTGAGCGGGCTGATATGACTGAGTCTGAAGGAGTTGAACAAAGACATACAGAAATTCTACTTACCACCAAGGAAAAGCTGGATGAATCAAAGGGATGTGGGTTGCCTGAAGCAAGTGATATAGAACTAACATGTCCAGGTAATTCAGAGAATCTTGTGAATGATAGTCGAGAGCATGAATCAAAGCCAGAAAAATACACATGTGAAGTTGAGTCAAAGGTAAAAACCAGCTCCATGTCTCCAGCAGCTGCCCCAGACATAGACAGCATGTGCCCTTGCACTCAACCAGACAAGAAATCCAACACCGAGCAGCCTACTACGATCTCAGAGATGCAATTTCTGTCAAAAGCAGATAAGTGTGACGACATGCTGCCCTATCAGACTGAATCCCAGTTCAGTAATGAAATGATGAAAAATGATGCAGCAGATGCTGGGGACAAAACTGTCCCTTCTCTTCCTGCAGCGGAGACTACAGTACCAGCACAACGGGATCTTTCCTCAACTACCATACAAAGCACTAACAGTGATGCCAGGGATGTGTCTGTCATTGTACTAAAGGCTCCAGGCCCAATGCTGAGTCACTGTGAGTCCGTTAATGACTGTGATATTGCTGTAGCAGGACCCGGGGAGGACTGCAGTGTGAACTGTGTGTGTGATTCTGACACAGAGATTGTTAAGAATATTACAGACAAATCTAATCAACAACTGGATGTGAATGAAGAGAGGTTAAGATCTCAAAATGCAGATGATCTGCTTTACTCTGTTGGTGTCTCCACACAGGAAATTGCAGCATCATCTGGGAACCATTTGCTTACAACTGACAGACCAGAACAGGCAGGTGATTCACCGCTAGTGTTAAAGAACCCAGATATTGTTGGAAATGCAAAGATGAAACAGAATGACGGCTCTAAGGGTGTTGGAGAATTGGAGGTTGTTAGAAAAGAGAAGAGTGAACCGGTGAATGCACCGACAAATGCTACTACAGAAAATGAGGTTATTAATATCGACACATCTGAAGAATTCAAGCACATGAAAAGGGGAGAGGACAACAAGGAGTGTGTAAAGGAAGCCGAAGAAAAATTCAATGCAGAAAATGAAACCAGTTCCTCTCAGGAAGAAGGGATTGAACAAAAAAATGAAAAGCAGGGTGAAAGGAAGGTACAAGAAGTAATGCCTATTAAGGAGCAGAAGCATAATAAAGAAGAGACAAATTCATCTGAAACATCCTGTGCTAATGAAACACTTAATTATCAACCTGCTTTGACAATGCAACAAAGTCCTAATGATGAAATCAAATGTGATTCACTCCTGATGCACTTGAAGGACAATCTCGCTACACTTCTGACTGAGGAACCTGTTCAACATGTGTCTGACAATGTAAAAATTAATAAAAGTGTATCCAAAAGATTCAGTCAGGTGATGGGAGGAGAGCAAAACAGGGAGATTGTGCAAGAAAATGAGGTACAAAATGTAAAATCCATTGCAAAAAAGGACAGCAAAAAAAGTGCAAATACCTCTCAAGAACAGAATGAGACTGCTGCAAAAGAAAACGCTGATCAAACACAAGGAGAAAATCAGACATTAATAAATCTCTCCAATCTATCAGGAGAAAAAAAACTATTAGATGAAACCATTCCAAGAGGAAAATTGCAGTCTAGCCCTATGCCTGATCCTGGTTTAACTTCTGAAGGGATTATAGAAGAGGCTCTGAGTTGTGGAGGGGCTGAAAAATCTCCTCCAGTCGTTGATCACACCCTGTCTGCAGTGGTGAATGCTTCTCCAGAGAGAGACCACACGCAAGATCCAAGGGGTTTGAGCCAGTCAGATTTGGCATTTTCACAATCCGGAGAGCTCCAGCTGCAACAGAACTTTATGAGTGCCCCAGAAGCAATGTTAAGTGTGAGTAAAAGCAACATTTTAGAAAATGCTGAGACCAATAATCATGCAAATGCTGAGGCAAGTGAAAAGCAAGAGAAGGTGGTTATGTATTGTAGTGCAGAGGCTCCAAGATCCCTAAACAGCACATCAGAGAGTGCCGCACTGGTGGGGGGCTATAACAAAGATGTTGCTGTGTTCAATATATGTCCAGAGAATGAAAAGAAGACAATACAAACAATAGATCTTAATGGTGGGAGATTTCCTGTTTGTGGTGAAAGTACTTCAAATGAAATCCAAACTCAGTCAGCTCCCAACTTGTCTGTAACAGCATCGTCAGCTTCTGAAACTTTAGAAGTCAAACGGGTTATAGAGGCTACAGAGGCAAAAGAGCCTGCCATCTCAGCATCACAGGAAAGTGTGAGTAAACATGCAGATTGTACCAAATCACAGGTCAGCGCGGATGAACATGGCAATGTGTGGAACGAAATCCCTGACACCAAGAAAGGCTCAGAATTTCCTGTAAATCACTCAAGTGGGTTCTACGTGATTCCCACCCTCTCACACCATGAAGCAGGACTAAAAACAGAAGAGAAATGTTTCGACTCCGTTACCCCTGGAGACACTGGAAACACTGAGATCAGTTTTGATTCAATTAGTGATGTTGCACAGATGTCTACAGCAGGAACTTCCCAAAATCAGCAAGAGAAAGAATTCGTTTTTCAGTCCTCTGATTGCCAGCTCTCCACCACCACATCCTCTGCTTCTGTGCTCCAAAAATTTATTAAAGAGGAAAAAGAGATAAGTGTGGATCAGGCCCCTAAAGATGCACTAGAACCTAACACTCCTAATTCCACTCCCCAGTCTGAGACAGCTGCCTGGAGGATGGAGCAGCTTAATAAGCATTTGTCAGAGCAATTCCCAGATGGTACCCAAAACACAGAGGAGCAGAATACACAGTGTTCTGAACAGCAGTTACAACATGTAAGAACTTGTTTGGACACTGAAAACACAATCAGTTCTATGAAAGAAGAAGACACCATTTCAAATGACGTACAACAGCGAGAAGGAATTCAAAAAGAGATAAGTAAACAGATGGCGGATGAAGAAAAGAACAAGGCCGTTGAAAATGATCACATAGAAGTGTCCAAAGGGGCTGAACCCAAGTCTTCACAGTCTATAATTGAAGAAAGCATCTCCAAAGAAAACCAAAGCAAGTTGGAGGAGCTGTCTTTATTTTCCCCTGTTGAAGCAATAGTCGATAATGTAGACCAGCAAATTGAAGAAGTTTCTAATGGATCACTGACAGAAATGAAAGAGGCTGTGTCATTGTTATACCCTGAGACCTCTATCTGCTTGGTGACTGACCCCCAGGATTCCCTCCAGTCCCCTCCTGCAGTCAATCAACAGTGTAGTCAGCAGCCCACTAAGTCTTTTATCCAAAACTTACGTGAAAACGCCACGAAGAAAGTTGAAAGTAGCAGTGAGCAAAGTCCAAACATAGCAGATACCTCTCCTGGAGACATAGAATCCCTTCTTATAAAAAAAACAATAGAGAAAGATGACAGGGAAGCTATTGAAGATGAAGTCAGCAAGGTGTCAACAGCTGCAGATGTGTTGCTGGGTTCAGGCACAGGAACAGAGCAGATATCACAGGTTATCGACAGTTCAGACAGCCAAATCCTAAGTGCAGTCTTTGTACCTGAGAGGTCAGATGCAGTCAACTCCTCTGAAGGTTCTGATTGGCTCAGAGCTCTGAAGGAGGCAGCCTCCATGTCTCAGATCATTCCAGAGCACAGAGATGAGTCTACCTGTGGATCTACAGAAAACAGGTACATTTCATTTGATGTTTGTTTTTAAAATGAGAGACCGTGAGGGAAATTGACTTTGTTGCACTCACAAATATGTAGAAAGAAATGTAGTGCTTTTCATTGGCACAGGTACAAAAAAGTATGTTTTATTCTCACATGACGTTTTGAGTGAAAATGGAGCCAAGTACAAGTACTACAGCCCATTATCTCCTGAGGGTGACCTCAACAGTGACATCAACTCATGCCCTTTAGGGCAAGAAAGAATCCTTTCATACCCACGCACAAACACACACTGGGCTTCACATATCTGAGCGCCACACATACACTTGCATACAGGCTATAAGGAGTTTTCATTGAGACAAACTGAGCAAAATTTCTTCTTTGTTTATTTTCTCTCTAGACCATTTGAGACCCTCCGTTCTCCTCAGACTGATCTAGAATTCCGAACCCCAACTGAAGAATATTTTCCCCCTGCTCCTGAAGAGAGTTTCCCCCCGGCACCCGAGGAGAGTTTTCCTCCTGCTCCTGAAGAGAGTTTTCCTCCAGCTCCTGAAGAGAGTTTTCCTCCAGCACCTGAGGAGAGTTTTCCTCCAGCACCTGAGGAGAGTTTTCCTCCAGCACCTGAGGAGAGTTTTCCTCCTGCTCCTGAGGAGAGTTTTCCTCCTGCTCCTGAGGAGAGTTTTCCTCCTGCTCCTGAGGAGAGTTTTCCCCCTGCACCTGAGGAGAGTTTTACCCCTATTACTAAGCAGCCAGAAGAACCACCAGACTGCAGGTGAGACCTCCTAAATGCTCCTTATGCACTTTCATGAAATGATTTACCACTTCCTTGGTTTGTTATTGAGTTAGTTGCTACTTGCCGCAAAGAAATTCCCCTTAATGTAGACTACAGGATGCCAAAGTAGTTGTGTTTAGGTCCAGGGAACGGCATAATAGATAGAAGGGTCATGCATTGCATCTGGGGTCGTCACTTTTTTGTGTTTTGTCTGTTTCATTGCTCAAGTGAACCAAATTACTACATTTACATTTACATTTATTCATTTTGCAGACGCTTTTATCCAAAGCGACGTACAATTGGGGAATACATCAAGCGATTCATCTTAAAGAGGCAAACAGATGCAGGAAGTACTCATAATACCAAGTTTCAGGCATTATTCCAATAAGTAATTACTACATGGGTGTCCAAAGACCCATTTGTTGAATATTTTTGAACACGTGTTTAGAATGGAGCATTGCAATGTACACTTAGCTTCCTTTTGGGGACTTTCTTATTTGCTCTCGTTTTGTCATTACTCCCCACTCCCTCTCTTGAGTCTATATCTGCTCTGTTGCAGTAGCCACAACAGATGAAAGTGGAGCACTTGGTGCTTGTCAGTCAGAGATTTTAGCCTAGCACCTCATTTAGAAAGACATGCCGGAGCCGGAGAGAAAGAAAGATAAGAGGAAAGAGAGAGTGGTGGACAAAGTGATAGGGAGTGAGAATGAGGGGAAAGAAGAGAGAGAAACTTTGACTGTGTGCATTTGTCCCAGTATCCCTGAACGGCCCACTCTTTGTTGCTTGCCACAGATGTGGACTAAAGGAATTTTGCTGTCAGTATGTGTGTGTGTGTGCACGTGTCTTGCTTAAGCATGCATATGTGTTTGCTATTTGCACCAACGCCCTCACATGAGGTCATACCAAGAGGTCTGTCAGTATGGAACAAAAGCCATAGTTCAGGGCCGATCCAGTTGAGAATATTACTGTGTGTGTAGATAGATAGATATAGTCAACAGAGAAAGAGAGAGATACAAAGAAATAAAAGAGAGAGGGAGTGTGAAGTGGCTGCCTGAGGAATTTTGAGTGGCTTGCCTAAAAGAATAGTCACACACTTTACTCTGGGTGCTGATCTCGGGTGAGTTCTGCTAAACCTCCTTTGCTGTTTAAAATTACATGTTTCTTTTTTGAATTTTACTAATAGTGTCAATTGCTGGAGAATACAGCCTTGTGGATATTTGGAGAGATGTTGATTACAGATGGTTTGTGATGATCTCACTGGATAGATGGGGGGAGGGACAGTAGGAAGACAGGGAGGGAAGAAGGAAGTGTGTGTTGTGAAGTCTGTCTCTCATTCTTTCAAATTTGCTAGCTTGCTCACTCTATTTGACACCTGATGATAATGATTTGCTCTGTGTTGACAGAAGGTTAAATTCCGTTATTGTAAGGAATGAAGTAGATTACACAGGACTTTATGGGTGCAGTTAAGATACCTTTGCTCTTGGTAATGTGCGATAAACACCTCTGTAGACAACTTGTGTTGCTGTACTAAACCCGCTTTTAGACATCAACCCATACAATGCTGTGATACATGTCATTTGTGGCATGTGAATTTACTTTATTTTATTTTGGAGATGGTATTTTGAACTATGTGGCTTTTGAGGCTTTGTATATAAATGAAATAAAGTGCAAAACTATAGCCTGATGGTTTTAGTCAGATGTTTTAGGCTAGCTACCAACTTTCCACATGTACAAGCTAATATTATCTTGTTAAGATAACTGCAGATTTTAATAAAAGCCTATAAAATGCCTTCGGTTACCTTTCAGTGAAAACTAGAGAATGTTTATTTTCTGTAGTTATTTAGGAAGTTGCAAGGAAGTTTTACTTGGTCTTGGTGTTAGCGCCTCACTCACAACAGCTGAATGAAAGCACAGCAATGTTAAATTTGAGAGCTCATGCTAATTTTTTATAGTGCCAACCACAAAGTTACTAAATAGGTCACATACAACAGGCTTCTGTGTTCCCAGCTTTCACACATTTTATGTAGGGCAGATGAATATGTCATTTCCAAACTATTCCATGTCATTTAGCTAGCTTATTCCACATTTGTTTTTCATTTCAGTCTACTTTATAAATCTACTTGTGATTTTATGAACAAATGAAACTGTGTGGATGCATTGGCTCCTGTGTGGATGTGTGTGTGTGAGAGAGAGAGAGGTGGCTTGGAAACCTTGTGATGCGTGACAAGAGCTAAGCAACAGTTACCATGGCAACAATTATTAGCCATTGCAATTATTTTGTGTTAACGGAACACAATTATGTTAGTGATGCTTTGAAAAGGGACTCTTACTCAAAGTGTTTTACAATTTTACATTATAAAACGAGACAGTAGGCCTTAATAATTGCATTTATTATAAAGATAACAGTATGATGCAGCCCCTCTTAGCTCAAACCTAACCACACTGTACTTATCTAATTATGCCTTAAATATTGCTGTCAGTCAGACTGTAGTTAGGACTGTGAAAAGCTGTATGGCGGCTGTGCTAACAGTAGTGACGTTGTTATTTTTATGGTTGCTAAAACTCCAGCTCCCCCCTGCTGCCTTTATTTAGTACAGTCTGTTTGCTATTAAAAACCATGTCTGGACTCATTCCTATGGACACAGCTGCTCCTGGGAGATTAGATTTTGTGTTTGTGCTCTTCCCATTAATTCTGGTGCATTTGAAACTTTGTTGTGTTCATTAAAGTTGTGGTTTGTGGTTATGTCTAACATGCAATCTCCCACTATCCGGCTAAAGCGAAGGAAGGATAGGATCGTAATACTTTGATGCGTGCATAGACCTGATTAGAGGGCAATTCTGCAAACTGTCTACAACTGTTTCTGATGAGATAGAGCAGTGCTATGTACAGTTGTTTAGGCTGTGTGGTGGAGTGAGTTGTATTTTTAGTATGTGAAATGAGATGAGGCACACCCCTTGACAGGAGCAGCTGAAGGGCTGTCTGCTGTTCTGCCTGTTGGATTAGGTTTTGTCTGTGATGCTGCTCAGCTATTGCCATTTTTTCCCTGCCGAGAGTGGAGTAGGGATGGTAGGAATGATATATATCATTATGTGATTTATTTTTGTATCAGAAATTTGATAGGTACAGATAAAGTTGTAAGTTTTGTATAAATTTATATATACAACATGTATCTTATGTGGTTCATTAGTGAACAAATCAAAGAACAACTGATTGATTTATAATTCATAGCAAATATGAATACACTACCATTAAAAAGTTTAGAATTGGTAATTTTTTAAAACTTAATGTGTTTTAAAAAAAAAGATTATTGTGCTCATTAACACAGCATTTATTTGAGCATGTAAAAAATAAAATACAGTAAAAAGTATTATTATGAAATATTATTAAAATTGTAAATAACAGTTTCTCTTACAATTAATTATTAAAATGTAATGTATTCCTCTAAAAGCAAACTGAATTTTCAGCAGTCATTACTCCAGTCTTCAGTATCACACATGATTCTTCAGATATCATTGTAATAAGCTGATTTGGTGCTCAATTAATGTAGAAAACAGTTGCTTAATATTTTTGCAGAAACGGATACATTTTGGATTCTTTGATAAATTGAAAGTTCAAAAGAGCAACATTTATTTGAAATATAAACCTTTTGTATAAATGCTTTGTATAAATTGAATAAATGTCTTTATTGTTACTGTAATAATTTCTTTTCTCCATAAAATTATTAATTTATTTTATAAAAATCATACTGACTCCAAACTTTTGAATGGTAGTCTAGGCCTATTTATTTATTTTGCTTAGTTGTGAGAATTGTTGTTTAATAATAATAATAATAATAATAAAATTAAAATAAATAAATAAATAAATGGAATAAAAATCTTGCTTAGTTGATGTCTGAAATCTGAGATAGCAAAAAAACCTTATTTCTGTTGTGTACTATGATAATGGTTCTTATATGAACGATTTCATAGGTGCGTCTCTCCTCACCATTCCCTGTGTGTGTGTTTGCCTGTGTATTTGTGGTGTTGTGCAGGTCTCCTCTGGTAGAGGCTGCTGAGAGCAGTGAGCCTGTCCCCTCTCCCTTATCACCCCTACCACAGCACGACACTGCTCCTGCCCTCCCTGCCCACCTGCTCCAGGACACAGTCGAGTTCCCCACACCGCCCCCTACCCCTCCGGACAGGGCTCCCCCTGAGCCTCAGACCCTTTCTCCTGCTCCTGCTCCTTCTGGTCTACCCGAGGCTCTCCCTGCTGCCCCTGTGCCTCCTCAAATCCAACAGCTCCAGCACTCTGAGCCTTCAGCAAGGTAGGATATGATCATTTGCTGAGTGTGGTAACTGATTGTTTAACAGTGTACAGTTTTTCTTCTTTAGAAGATTGTGAGGATGCCACATGTGTAGAGATACTGTACGCTCAAATTTAGTTTGTATTATTTTTGCTTTGTGGTTATTTTAAGATCCTTGGATGATTTTGCCACTCATATGCCCTCCCTGCGTGGGCAATACAGTTTACATGAGGCTGCTTGCAAATGCTCTTCATCTATTTAGTCTGTTCCTAACTATCAAACTGGTGAGAATTTATGAATACTGATTAGATTTAATTAAATAGATCTGACTGTTTTGTTTTGTTGACTGTGCTGCTGATAATAATAGCAGTGATGATCCTGAGGGATTTGTGACATACACTGTATGTACTGTATGTACAGAACTGTACACAGAGTACCTCATAACACCCTGTTTCCTCTGCGTCTGAAAGAATTGAAGCACCCAGAAATTAATTTACCATGAAGACTATTGGCACCAGGCTTTGTATGCATCTTTACAGCACTGTATATAAAGAATATTGTGGCCCTAAAATCATTTTTAATTCATGATTAAAATGTTTGAAAGTCATTACATCCACTTGTTATACAACAAAATGTCAAACCAAGTGTCATCCCTGAGCAAATGATTCTAGCCTTTTCTCAGGACTAAATTCCCTTTTGTAGATAGTTTCATTTTAACCCAGTTTCAAGGTGATTTTAGTGGTTGAAGTCACTTCTCTATGTTGCTTTAAGATACTGTATTGTCTTGGAGTGTGCTGCTACTATAGTAGGTGACTCATTTCCATTTGTGCACATTGTTGTAAACGTTTTTACATCAATCGGAGGCTGTGCAGTGTTTGGATAGAGAGCAGGATGACTCAGCCACGTTGACAAGCGATGAGCTCAGCTTGCATTTCTTCTATCAAACAGCAGAGGGCGAGAAAGTGTGTATGTGTTTCTTTCAGTGTTGGAACTGAACTCTGCTGCCCACTGCAGCACACAGCTTGTAAACACACATCAGAACAGGAATACAGTACAGCCTAAAAACGTATGGAAAAACTACACTGTATGGAAAAAAATGTGCAAAAATTGTACCTTTAGTTTGTAGCTGGTGCAGTACCCTCAAAGGTACATCTTATCTACCCATAAAGGGATGCAGAATGCAGATGCAAGAACCTAATCTTAAAATCTTACATGTAAAACGCAGCATTTGCATAATGAGATTTATTTCAGAAGTGCACCACCATCCAGCCAAATATAAACTGATGCCCTGGGGCACCAGCTTGATGCATCTCAACATAAAACATCCATTAGGGGAATGAAGCCTGTCCCCTCTGCAAACAACTACCAAGGGCATTCCGTCTTTATCATTTCTCTCACACTCTCACATTTTTTTCTCTTTCTTTCTTTTTGGAAGGTCATTTGTATTATGTATGATTTTGTATTCACTACTGTATATATACGTTGCCAGTATTTGAACACAGTACAGTTCAGTTTTTAGGACACGTTTAGGTCAACATTTACACTTTTGTCTTGGCAAAATGTAGCCCGCTGCCCTATATACCTGTATTCATCATACTGGTGGCAAACTGAAGGGTTTTATGGTCTTTTAACTTACCATGTTCATTAGCAAATTAATAAAAAAACAACAGATTGATAATTCATAGCAAATATGAATATGGCTCCCAGACCAAAAAGAAATAACTAAATATGCTCTCCTTACTCATATTTGACTGTTAGTTCAGCCTAGATACTAAAAGCCCATGTTATGAATCTTTAAAAAAAACCTGCCTTTGCAATATCTTTCAGTGGCTGCACTGCTTGAAAATTTAATTTTCAATTTCCTGCGTCTGAGCATGAAGTTGTCAGTACACACTAAACACTTTCACTCTGCGTGTGACAGCATTGTTGTAAATGCCTTTTATTGTAAAATAATGAGTTGTCACATGTCTTCCAGCTGTCTGACACAGACAACCATTAAATTGGTGACAGGTCTTTAAAAACCCCTTCACTGTTGCTATAATTTATCATGGACGGCTGTGTTTTTTCAGCACTTTTGCTCTTAAAAATCAGAGTGAGAGAAAAGTAGCCCCTGGCTTCTGCTGAGAAGAAAACAAAAGCTGCATATAGATGCTGTAGAACACTGTGTTCCTCTGCTGGCACAGAATTTTCTAGAAGTAATAAAGCATATGTCCTTAAATCGCTGAGCTGAGAGAAGGGAAGTCATAATATGATGAGAGGTTTGAACAGACTAGCGGTCTCCAGCATTAGGATGGTTGGCTACAGAACCAGTGACCTTGACTAGCCTAGAGCCTTGAACATGCCTGTGACGAGTGGGGGCGGGGCCGAGAGCCGTGGGAACGGAGCGAGGCCGGTGGAGTGATTGCTAATGAGGGACACCTGCACCCACTCACCGGTCTCGAGTCTCACGGAGGAGCTCCGGAAGGATAAAAGGGAGGAGTGACGACCGTGTTGGACGAGAGAGGACCAGGCCTGGATTTTATTTTGTGTTTTGGTTTCTTTTGGTGCGCGACAGTCGTCCGCGAGGGGCTGTCGCGCTATTTTGTGTTTATTTTATCATTAAAGTTTCTTTGAATGTTCGCCGGTTCCCGCCTCCTTCTTCCCGTGACTACAAACTACGTTACAATGCCATTGAATCTCATTTGTGTGAACACCCTCAAGCTACATTATTATCACCCTTTGTGTACTGGTGCATGTTTTTACTTTCTGCTTTTTATTTTCTATTTTCAAAAAGTTTTGGTAATGGCAGGCAGTGGACTTGTAGAATAAATGCGTTTTTTCTTCCTGCCTAGTACCAGTTTTTTTCTCTGGGCTAAAGGCATATGGGTCATTATTTACCTTGCTACTTGTACCGTGATATTTTATGCTCATATAAGCATACCATTTATTGAAGAAAGTACATTTAAAAAATGCATGTCTTGATTTTATTTTTTACTACACTTTGTTTGATTATTAATATTAATTATTAACTGCCACCTTCTTTTTGGACCATTAGTCAACAAATTCTCAGATAACGGAGCAGTTATTATGAGGCTTGTAGGAGTTTTCACCACTACTCCCTCACATTCACACCACGCCATTGAAGCTCAATGAAAATTCAACGAGCATTAAGGAGCCACGTTCACTCTCTCTGAAACCTTATCCACTGCTGTTGTTTGCTGGATAGTGTTGCTGTAGAAAAATGAATGCTTTATGAAATACTTTATCTTGTATTTTATAATATTATTGTGTTTTTTTTGTGCAGTCGATTTTTTTGTGCATTTTTCTTGAAGAGTCACTGCCCACTTTCAGGTTTCAGGTTCATCTTAACTTAGGCTAGCTAAGCTCTGTTTTAGTGGTTCATATCCATGCCATATACAAACACAGGAACATAACAAAGCTTCAGTTAACTTTGGGCCATGAAGACTTTCCCTACTCTGTGTACAGTCCTCAGGCTCTATACTGTAAGTGAATAGGCAGATCTGTGCGAAAAGCTCTTTGTTCTGCTTTCTCATGAGTGAACAATAGAGTTATAATCCTCATGTTTCAGATGCCCCCACCAATGTCCCAATTTCCCACAACTGCTGCTGTCTCATGCTGTAAATCAATATGGATTAGCTCGACCTGTGTGAATCGCTACTGCTCCCCTTCAGGCTCGTAATCACTTTTCTTTGAGTTGTCTCATTTTCATTCTCATTCTCATTTTCATTTTTCCAGATCATACCTACAGACCCTTTCATAACATATTCATTGTGATTTTGAATATATCTGTCATTTGAGGACATTGGGACTGATGACTGCTTTCTGCCGTGTCTTTTTGTTCTCAAGGGGGGTTGATATATCATGACTTTGACCTGAGCAAACAGAAGGATTTGACACCTATGAAAGAACAGCAGTTGTAAATCAGAGACTCCTCAAGTCTGATGTACATGCAGTTAATTTATACTTTATTAGTTGATTTGTTTGGATGTTGCTGTTGATTTAATGATGGGCATTTATTTAAATATGTTCCTCTGACCCCATCAAAACCCATTTGACAGACATTTCTGAAGCTTTAACCCTCACAATGTAGAAATGCACTTTCTAGAATCAAAGAATCTTAGTATGTAAAAATTCATTGCATTTTTAATTATGTACAGAAGAAATGTAAAATTTTTCATGTTTGATGCATGTTATCAAGCTGAAATATTGAATATGCTATAATCAATTTTTCATCAGATGATGGTGAGGAAATTTTCCTTTTTTCTTCATTTTTTAAGTATATTTTTCAAGATGCTACTAAATGCCCTAGGGTTTCTCAGACCCCAAACAGACCCTTAGGGTTAAGTTATTCAGTTAATTTCTGTAATGTGAGCAACCTGCAATGCCACTCCATTTTCACAGGGGAGAGTTAGTTGTGTGATTTAGGGCAATAAAAAATAATAGAAACACAGAGAAACTATAAAAGGTGTTGCGAAACAGAGAAACTATAAAAGGTGTTGCATAACAAAAGACAGGAGTGACCGCATGCCTCAGTTTCTGTGTCTCGGTGTGTGAAAAAGAGACCTGTGTCTTTCAGCTTGGCGTGTGGTCGGCTATTGTTTGCATTCACTGTGCTGATCGGCACAAGAGACCTCAAATCGACAGGGAAAAGCTGCTCATCTTTTAAAGCACTCCGTTCCCTGGGGAGAGAGAGAAAGAGTGAGAGAGTTAGAGAGGGAGGGGTTATGGAGAAAACCAACAGCCACTTCGCCAAACGCCACAACAAGCCAATGAGAAGACAGAGTTGAAAACTAGAGAGCAGGAGCATCGCTTATTCCCTCCCTCTTCTCTTGCTCTTCGCATCCTTCCACATCTCTACCCATAAGGCTTAGCAGTCCTGTTCTATTGTTGTCAAGGATACAGAGAGAGATACAGCCTTCCCCTGATGCGATGTAGACAGAGACGGAGAAGGAGTCAGAGAGAGCGAAAGGAAGGGATGCTGAGGGCTGAGAGCGGGGTGCCTGTATGCCCCTAATGCCATC